ACACACTGGTGGAGGCAAGCTACAGTTGTAGCCACAGCTGCCCTGGGGCAGACTGACAGAAGCGAGGCTGCCATATCGCGCCATCGGCCCCTCTGGCCAACACCAGTAAGCGGTAGGTAAAGTGTCTTGCCCAAGGACACAATGACCAGGACAGAGAACCCGGGGAACGAACCGGCGACCTTCCGGTTACAGATGCGCTTCCCAACTCCCTGAGCCACGGTCGCCCAGTTGTTTTTTTAATGCAACCATCAGATTGTTCACAGGATTTGAAAGCATACCTCGCACTGATTTGTGAGTTTTGTGCACGTGATATCGAGCTGCTGATAGTCCTTTTTGAGCTTCGAAAAGTCTGCCTCTAGCCACGTGTGCTCCAGCTTGGCCTCATTCAGCTGGCTCTTGAGCTGCTTGTGATCCGATGTCAGCGCCTCGTTATCGTTAAGAAGCTGGCGGTATGTCTGGTTCAGCCTTAAAAAATTATGTATCATGAGAAAAATTTCCTTTGTTGATATATCCACATATATATACATGCTCTGGAGTTTATGTGTGTGTGTAGGTTTGTGTGCATCCACGTTCTCACCAGTCTTTCTCATCACGGAGCCTGCAGCACTCAGCAGCGGTTGTCCTGTGCTGTTCTTTCTCCAAAGCCATCCTCATCTGCTCCTCCTTGAGGGCTTTCTCCAGGTCTTCTAGTTTGCTACGTTGCTGCAACAGGCTGTTGTATCTAAATAACAATGCAAACATGAATATGAAGTTCATGTTTGGGTTTAGGTTAACTGGCAATGCTCAGATTAAAGATATAAATGATCCTTAAGACAAGTGGTTTAAATGAACTTGTATGCAAACTTTTACCATCGTCCACAGCTCTCTTGTGACCTACCTGTCTTGAAGAGTGCGATGCTCCAGTTCCAGTGTGCGGTGGGCATTTTTCAGACAGCCGTGCTTGCCCATCAGGGCCTCATACTCCATGGCTTGTCGCTCGTGCAGGACTGCCAGGCGCTCGTGATCTCGTAACAGCTGCTCTTGAGCACCGCGCAGCTCTTCACGCTCATGTATAGCACTGTCCCGTTCACTTTCTGCCTTAGACTGCTGCTGCTGCAGCTGAGTGTTTTGGGCCATAAGGGAGGCGCTCTGTGAATTCACTGTTGACTTTTCCACCTGGAGAAAAACACCAAGGAATTAATGTAACATAAATAGTTTGTGTATGCTGTTTACGAGAGCAGAAGCTTACCAGAGGATATTACAGAAGCTTTTATGTGAATTCTGTTACAGAGACTAGTGTGTATTGTAATGACACCTGCAGGGTTGCATTGTGTGTCTGCAATGCTGTGTTGTTCTCCTGCAGTGAGGCAGCCTGCCGCTGCAGGGCAAGGACCTGAGCCTGCTGGCTGTCAGACTGACTTTCCAGCTGTTTTAGCTGGGCTTGTAAAGCCTGGCGTTCTGCCTCCAGTGTCGCATTCTGCATAAGAGATCAGGAAGATATTATGGCAAACTGTAGCGTGGTATTAGCTTTAGGATAATTTGTGTGCCATTATCAAAAATAGGGAATCTCTGTGTACAGGAACCCATGATATCATTTAATATTGTACAGCTTTATGTGTTCTATGTTCCTCTTTATGTGTTTACAGAAATGTAAATGGCCTGCTACTTATTTAGACACTTTTCTATTTTAACTGAGCACTCAAAGCACTTTTTACTACGAGTCTCATTCACTCAATGTCACTTACATTTCTCTCGACTTCAATGAGGCGATCTTTTAGCTTCAGCAGTTCTTTGGTAGCTTCCTGACTTTCACGTAGCCATTCACTCATGGCCTTGCCAGTTTCTCTTGGAGGTGTGGAACTTGATGTTGTCCTCTCTTCCTCCTGCCTCTGTTGCAGGGCTTCATAGCTCAGCTTCACCTGTGTGATGGAAGACAGTCGTTCAAGTGGATCCAGAGAAACTAACAGGTCTGGAAAGCTTAACTTTATTCCTTACACTCTTTAGTTCCTGGCGCAGCTGCTGATTCAGAGAGGAGGATTCCTGCAGACGGGCCTCCAAAGAAGCCAACTTGTCGTCTTTTATCTGCAGAGACTTTTTCAGAGATGTCTCCAGCTCAGACTCAAGCATTTTGAACCTGCTGTGTATAGAAGTTTATTTTGCGTTATAAAACTTTGCATTTGTTAGAACATTCTCTTAAATAGTTACGTGATGGGAACAGAAAGCTCCAAAGAGTATGCACGGACCTGTTATCTGGTCTCTCTTGTTCAGGCTGATGTGCACTCTCCTGGTTCAGGACCTTCATTTCCAGCTCATGGGAAAGCCTCTCTAGTTCATTGTCTCTTTGCTGGGTTCTCAGCTTCTCGCTAACTAGCTCCTAAAGATAGACAATACATTTCAAATAAAACAAACAGGTTTCCATAATAGCAGTATTGCTTAATCAGAATCAAAATCAGAATACTTTATTAATCCCTAAGGAAATTATGTAAGGGATGGCGATGTCATTTGGTTGGCCTGAAGTAGTTATATGAAGACTGCCACTAAAGGTTAAGGTGCTTAACACATTTATTAGACCACCACTCATAAAAAATAAAGAAAATATGAATATTTTAGAAATCTGTCAAAAGCTTGTGTAAAACTAAAAATTATATTGTTATTTATTAGGTAAACAACAAAATGAATTCATGTGTTTACACCTAAATCTGAGCCAGCAAAGTAGACAATTTTTACTGCAAATAAACAATTAAAATTTGGGATCTTAATCAAAACATAATGATGTTCTTTACTATTTTTTCAGTATTTTTAGTTAAACTGTAAATTTGAAAATTCATGAATAACAACAATATTTTTATTTTGGTGTTAAAAATGTAGTGTTGATATAAAAAGCTTGTGCTTCTGGTGTATTAATGATTACAGAAACACAAAATAAAATCATTTTAGTAATTACCAGTACGGTTAGGCCAGCTTTGGCATAAACCTTAGATTGGGTGACAGTCTAATACATGTATTAAACGCTGTAGGTCATGTTATGCATCCAGTCAGTCCTCACTTCTCTGAGGGTTGCCAGGGTTCTCTGGTCGATAGCAGCCTGCTTGGTCAGTTCTCTGTTGTCTCTCTCCAGGCCTTTCACCCTCTCAGCAGTTTCCCTTAATCCGTCCACTTCCTTTACAAGAAAACGCATCTCCCTTTCCAAGCTAGCCATACAGACATTACTGCTGTCTAATTTGGCTTCTTGGATTTCAGCCTGAAATACAGGAAAGTAGAACAGTCGATAAGGTTTTTCAAACATTATCTAACGCTAGAAAACTGATATCTTTATTAAAAAAAAAAAAGATTGTCCACCTGTTGCCGGAGTCGTCGATTCTCTTTCTCTAGCTGCCTCTTGTCTCTCTCCAGGGCAGTTGTTTCATGCTCCAGGGTCTGCTTCTCTGTTTCTAACTGCTCCAGGCGTCGTGCAGAGATGCGAAGTTCCTCTAAAGAGGCCTGCAGGCTCTGATTCTCTGCTTCCAGCTCCTCAACCTCTGCCTCTAGATGCTGAACCTTTCGGTCTTGAACATGGAGAATGATAGAAGAAATAAATTAATCTGAAAATGTTTTGCTATATAAGTACAAAAACATTACTTATTTTCTATGGGACCTACCAGTGTTGTCAAGTGAAGTTTGTAGATGCTGATTTATTGTGTCCAGGGCCCTGCACTTGGCCTCTAGCCGCTGTGTGTGCTTGCTGGCATAGGAGGAGCGTGTTGGCAGACCTGTGAAGATGCTTTCATGGCGGGGACTGCTGTTCTTTGAGCCAGGCGAGTGATCATGTGACCTCACAAAATAATGGCGCCTATTGTGATTGTTTTCTAAGACTTCCAAATCAGACATCCTTTCTTTGAAATGGTCCCCACTGTCTCCATCCTCTAGCTGTCCTTTCTCCTGGATATTACGCTCTGGATTATCTGTGAGATGGTTCGCACTCTGGACTCGCTCCAACTCCTCGGTGTCTAGCTGCTGATGGCAGCTTAAATCCCCATTTAGCATCGACTCTGTTACAATACTGAGGGAGACTCCATTAGAGTGATTTTTAGCATTCGAGCAGGAGGTCTGCAACACTGAGGGCTCGTCTGTTGATGAGGTACAGTTGTTACTACACATCGCCAGGTGGCTATGTTTGGTTTGTGTGATGTTATTAACAGAAGCTCTGAGCTCCTCTATGGTCTTCAGGAGATGTTTGTTCTCTTTCTCCAGTTTCAGCAATCGACTGCAGGCCCTCTCGCTGACCTCCTCACTCAGGGTCTGCTGGCCTTTTCACAAACACACAAACACACAGTTAGTTTGCAAGAAGCTTGAGAGAAACAAATGAAAATAGCTCACTTTTCTAGGAATGTTATTAACTGGTCACTTTCACATTCTGCAATGCTGCTATTTACAAAAATATCATTAAAAATAAGTTTTGTATCAGTAGAAGCACCACTCATATGTACAGACATGCCTCGGATTCACTTTTTGTAACAGAGATTCATTTAACAAAGACAATAAAAGTCACATCTTAAGCCTGATTGTTGAGTATTTCAAGTAAATAACTTATTTAAGAGATGGCACAATAATGCATGCACACCTTTACATAACTTATCCTTATCTACTCTCACTGGAAAGTACACTATATTGCCAAAAAGTAGTCACGCATATGAACTTGAACGACACAGCATTCTTAACTCGCAGGGTTTAATATGATGTCGGCCCATCCTTTCCTGAAATAACAGCTTCACATTTTTCTGGGAAGCCTTTCCACCAGGTTTAGGTGTGTGTTTATGGAACATTTTGACCATTCATCAAGAAGCGCATTTCTGAGGTTGGACATGATGTTGGACGAGAATGCCTGGCTTGTAGTCTCAGGACTCTGTGCAGGCCAGTCAAGTTCTTTCAGGCCAAACCTGCTGATCCATTTCTTTTAGGACTTTGTGCACTGCTCATCTGAGTGCACTGGGCTATCTTCAAACTATTCCTATACGTTAGGAGCATTAAATTGTCCAAAATGTCTTCATTCTTTTCACTGGAACTAAGGGGTCTGTCAGGGGTTGGGTCTGTAGCCTGACATTTTGAGTTTATTTTGTATTATTGGTGCCTTATGTTATATTGGAAATATGTTAAGTTCTTGTGTTGTTATTATTAGTTAGGACAGGGGTGGGCAACTCCAGGCGTAGAGGGCCGGTGTCTCTGCAGGTTTTAGATGTGTCCTTGAACCAACACAGCTGATTTCAATGGCTAAATTAGCTCCTCAACATGTCCTGAAGTTCTCCAGAGGCCTGGTAACGAACTAATCATGTGATTCAGGTGTGTTGATCCAAGGTGAGATCTAAAACCCGCAGGACACCGGCCCTCGAGGCCTGGAATTGCCCACCCCTGAGTTAGGATATAGTTGAGTTTATTCTAGTTTTTGCTTTATCTATGTGTCCTGGTTTGAGTCTTTTCCTGTCTTCTGTGTCAGTCTGTCATGCATTTTTTTGTCTCTGTTTTGAAGTGTCAAGCTTGTGTTATCATGTCTACGTCTCTCCATGTTCCCTGTTTTATTTTGAAAGTCTTGTGTTTCCATGTTCAGTGTGTTTAGTTTAGTTTTGCCTGTGGGGTCAGGTTCATTTGTGTTAGCTGTGTTTCCCCAGGTGTTTCTACTTCCCTCATTACCCTTCTGTGTATTTAAGTCCTCTTTCCACTGTTCAGTGTCAGGCCGTCTGTTTGTCTTGTATTACGTCACTCTGGGTTTCAGGTTGAGTTCATGCTTTCTGATCAGATGCTTGTTCATTCTTTTTTTTCATGTTATAGTTCTGCATGCACCTTTTCAGATTCACGTTAATGTTCACAGTTTTCATAGTTAATCTTAGTTTATTCATCGTTTAGGTTTCAGTTTAGTTTTTTCCCCATCTCGCTTTGCCTTGTTTTATGTTTATGTATTTTCAGCCAAATAAATGGCTCGCCTTTTGATACCCTGACTTTACTCTCCCGTGTCTGCTTTTGTGCCACACCGGCTACGCAGCCGTGACAGGGTCGAGCCCAACTGAAAAGCAATCCCATGCCATAATCCATCCTCCACCAAACTTTACACTTGGGATAATATAGTCATAAAAGTAATATTCTCCTGGAAAACTACAAAACCTGGATTTATCCATTGGATTGGCAGATGGGGAAGTGTGATGCATCACTCCAGAGAACATGTCTCCAATTCTCTAAGGTCCAGTGGGGGCATGCTTTATATCGCTGTATCCAATGCTTTGCAATGCACTTGGAGATGTAAGGCTTGGATGCAGCTCTTCAACCATGGAAACCCATTCCATGAAGTTATCTACACACAGTTCTTGAGCTAATCTGAAGACCACATGAAGTTTGGAGGTCTGTAGTGACTGACTCTGCAGAAAGTTGGTCACCTCTGCACACTACCTGAATTCAGTGATTTGGATGGGTAAGTGAATACTTTTGGCAATATATTGTAGATTAGCCTAAGCTCTCATTAGTCCTTCTTTACACCCACTCTTACCCTGGGAGCTTTCTGTGGTCTTGGAGAGTTGCTCTAACTCCCAGCCTAGGTGCTGGGACTCCTCCATACTCCTCCGCTGTGCCAAACACAAAGCCAAGTTGTCCGTTTGCAATTCCTCAATGCGCCTCCGATCTGCCTCCCTCTCCTTAAGTGAAAACCCAAACTATAAGCGGTGGTATAAGAGTGCTACCTTTCCAGCTGGTGAACAAGCTACATGAACATTAAAGATGAAATCTAACCTTCCAGATATTTTAAATGATATTTCTGGTAAACTCTGTGGAGATGTCTGACCTGTTCCATGTCATGGACCTGGGCCTTCAACAGCAGATTGTGTTTCTCCAGCTGGTGGATTTTATCTGAGCGTGCCCTCCAGCCTTCCAGTTGATCCTCCAAAACCTCTTTAGTCTCCTGGAGTACCCTATTATCCTCCTTTAGCTCCTGAAACATGAAAAAATATTTAAATTCACCTTAAATACTAAATCACACTGAAGCCCACCCAATCATCATATTTCTCTTTATTTGAATCTGTCACTACAATAGTTAAAAGTCTCTTGTATGTTTGTAATGTATGTATATATGTATGTTCTACATGTATTTATTCTGCCTCAACCTCCACTTTGGCTCTGTAGAACTCCATCTTGTGCAGTTGCTCCCTGTAGCGTCCCACTTCACTCTCCAGCTTGTCCGCCTTGATGGCTCTCTCTCTCAGGGCATCCAGTTCATCACGGTAAGTGCGGGCTGTGCGTGCATCCAGAAGCAACTGGGAATTCTGGTAAAGTTAAGAGAAAAGAATGATTTATAACAAAAACGTCTTAAGCTTGATACAGCTTTTTATAGTCAGAAATTTCCGCCATAAACTCTAAAGTTCATCATCAAACATCAGCTCAACATCAAATAGCTAAAACAGCAGAGAACACTGACTTAGTTTAGTTGAAAACACGAATGGTAGATTTGTGTGTTTTTGGTATGGTAAGACGTGAACATCCAATCTGTTGTCATGTGATAACTTTATCAGGGAAAGCCAAGGCACATATAAGTAAATAAGTAAGTGAAATGTTATTAATAAAGAACCTTTAGAGACAAAGATCATGATTAAGTGTTTCACAATATAAAATGTAAGGTGATATAATAACTTTTTCCATTCCACTAGACAAAAATGGCTATAAGAAATTAAATACTGCTTTTATTTTCACTAAATATTTAATTGTTAGAAATATATGAACCATGTTAACTAGTGTGACCATCTAAGCCACAAATGCAAATTGAGATTTCCCGAGCAGACAAATCCACAGAGGCTTTAGCTGTGCATCTGAGTCAGTGTTCAGAGGTTTAAGTTAGTAGTTATTAAGCACGGAGCTGCAGCAAAGTACAGCGTTCAATAATCTGCATAAGCTGCAGAGAGGTCAGGAGGTTACTGTTTGTCACCATTAGCTGTGATTTTTTTTTTTTTTTCAACGTGTTCTTTGACTTCAGACCTCCTGCTGGATTCGCTTCAGCTCAGCCTCCATGTTCTCCAACTCATGTCTGCAGTCCAGCATTTGTTCACTCTTCTCCTCTCTGGTGTCAGGTGTGGATCACAGAGAGACATAAAGTTGGGAGGTTAGCATGCACTACATTTTAAACACGAATTGAAAATGTTTAAATAATAAGTAAGCATAAGAGAAATATAAGCAATTCTGACAAAATGGATCAAACATTAGCTGTTAAGCTCCGTTTCTTTCCTTCCCACATGCTGATGACAAAAAAAAGTGTGTTCATTTTCTTATATAAAAAAGAATAGTCTAAGGCCATTCAAAAAAATCAGAGCATGGCTTTATGTGACATTGTGTATGTGAGCCTGATGGGATGGACAGCAATGATGGAACTGAGATCTTGATTGGATCAGCTTTAGCGTGCGTGTTTTCGTTTTTTGCGTATCTGCAGATCTGCTGTGGGTCTGTGGTTGTGTGTTGGTGTTTAGGCTTTGAAGCAGGCAGTCATTTGTGTGGGCCTCTGTCTGGCGTGTCTTTTTTTTTCTTTTCTCTCTCTCTCTCTCTCTGCCTCCTATTTATTCCCTACTGGCAGTTACACAGAGGAAACCCATTTACCAATCAGCACCGTTAGGAGGAACTCTACAATGCTTAACCTAATAATCTTTTAATGTGGGAGAAAAGCAAACACTTTACTCTGCAAACATTTTGGTGACATGAATGGGACAACAGATGAAATAAATCTGGGCAGAAAAGTGCTACAAAAATTCCAACTTACTACAACCTCTTTTGTATTCGTTTTTTAACGTTGATCCAATCTATATAGTAACTTTCATATGAAAATGTTCTGATCTCCAGTTAGTTTAAAATATATCTTAACTTTTTAAGCTAATTTTAGTCAACAAACAAAGAAAACAATTATTTTTTCCACCTATCACATACTTACAGTTCTTGTCTAAGTCGTCTGATCTTTGCCTTAGAGTCGGCCAGTTCGACTGCAAGGTGTTGCTGGGTCCCCACCTGCTGCTGCTGAATTGTAGGAGAGTAGCTGGCAGACTGTGGGCTGGAGGGGCTACTGAGCAAACTTACCACACCCTCTTTCTCCTGCATTAGCTCTGCTATAGTCTGCAGATAGGAAGCAGGATTAATACTACAGGTTGAACATTAGTGATGAGTGTGCAATATCTGAGCTCGGTCTAAAATGAAAAGCATCTTAATAAAATAATATCCATTGTTCCTATAAAAATATGTAGCTAATACTGTTTGTAAATATGAAAATTGAGTACCTCCAGATGGGTATCCCTCTGATCCAGCAGGTGTCGGAGGTGTGTGGTCATGTTCCTTACTGCTGCCTCCATCTCATCGGGGTGCAGCTCACTAGACTCCAACCACTGCAGATCCAGCACATTGTCTTGACTGTGAGTCAACTGTTAAACACGGGACATGACGATCAGCGTAGTTGAGGAAAGAATAATACAAAACACAGCAACTGCACAAAAACAAACGATTACCTGTAAAAAAACGCTGTAGCATTCAAAGCATATGTCATATAAAGTCAAATACCTCCTGAATATGAGCAGCTATTGCTGCTTTTGTCTCAAAGTCAAGTGTCTGGATTCTCTCAATGTACTCCTCTTTCCTCTCACACTGTAAAAATGCAAAAATGCACAAATTTGACCCAGAAACTTACCATAAACATCATTTTTAAATATGATCATTTGCTCTACATATCACTCAGTATTTACCTGAACTGCACATCCCAATAGTAATAGCAAAAGTTTCCTCATTTCATCCAGGCTTTGTTCTATGACAGTAAAGAAATTGAATTATTGGAAAACAAACCCACTGGATCGAAGTAGGACTGCTGTCACGGATTTAAACTGAACACAGCGCTGGTTGGTGTATTTGGGTCATCACTTGCCGAAGCATTGCCATCAGAAGTTAGTGCGGCTATCAGACTGATAGTGGTGTGCAATTGAATTAAAATGTTATCGGAAGGAGCTGAAAAGAGTCTGTTTCATTTTACAGACTCAAAGGTTTTCATTGTTAACTATTCAGAAATCACTGACCGCTGAAAATCAAGCGGTGCATATTGGGAATGTATAATCGTTTTAAAGCGCATACCACAGTAAGGAGTCCTGCCAAGCAGCAACACATTTGGCAAAGGAGTCATGATTAATTGTCTCAGATTATCCTACAAAAGAAGAGACAGAAAAGAGAAGAGAGATGGTTAGAGAAAAACCCCACATTTGGGCTAAAGTGAAACAAGGACAAAACACTTCTTGCATTCTAGCCAAAGTGTTTGAATAGATGGAGAAGTATGTATGTACAGCACATAGGACCTGCTCAAATACATGTATAGAAACACTGCCAACAAATGGTGAGTGCTCTGAATGGGTAAATGACAGAGCCAGTTTCCCTGGTGCTGTGGTGAAATTCTGTAAAACTGCTCGGTGCAGCCTTGTCCCTGCCTAAGTTTCCCATCATCCTTTCTTTTTTAACCTTATGCGAAAGCTCCTCTATAGAACTGCACTTGTTATTATTCTGTCTCTTTCATATCAAATCACTGCATCTCCTTAATGTAAGCTTTAGCTCCATTAGGTCAAAATCAAACAAAAATACACTAATTCAAACAGCTGCAGCTGCACTATTTGTTTAGCACAACTTATTAAATGACAGCAAGCTAGATGCTATACTCATGTTGTAATTGTAGACAGTGTCATACATGCTAAACATGTTAGCCTTGTAACTTTGAACCATGTTCACACACTGACATTTAGCTGAAAGTTCCAGTTAAACCAGTGGAGCGGTCAAGTCTTTTAACTGATCTTAGAGAATGAAAATAACCAAAAATAGACTGCAACACTTCTAGATGCCCTAGATCTACAGTGCCTTACTAATAATAATTTTAATGCAAAAATAAACATGGCAAGTTGCAGTTTATCTCAAACTGTCTCTGTTTCCATTCACTGGGCACAAACAGCTTAAAATGTGTACAGTTAGGTCCTGAAGTCTTTGGATAGTGACACAGTTTGTGTAATATAGCTGTTTGTGTAGCGTTACTGTATAGAGAAGTAGAATGCAGAGTTTCGGCTTTAACTCGATGAGTTTAACGTAAGTATAGCATTAATTGAACTGCAGACATTTTTATACATAGTTCCTCATTTTCAAAGTTTCAAAAGTAAGTGGACAAACTGACATCATTTTAAAGAAATAAGGATTGTTCTAACATTTGGATAAAAATCATTTACAGCAAGTCTTAAGTCTAGAACCCATGAAGATCACGAAATGCTGTTTCCTCCGTTGAGATGCTCTACCAGACTTTTACTCCTGCCTGCCTTCTGTTGGTTCTCTCCTCCGTCAGTTATGCCCTCAATAACTGAAAAGCCTGTTCTACTGAGGTGAGATAAGATAACTGATTTGGCCATTGAAGAATATCCCACTTTTCTGCCTTGATAAACTCTTGGTTTGCTATTACAGTGTGTTTGGGTCACATTTGGATCGATTTATGCTGTGAATTGCTGTTCAATCAGTTTTGCAGCATTTAACTACATCAGAGTAGAGGTCATAGCCCGGTATAGTTCAGAATGCACCCTTTTTTAAAGAATAATTTGTCCACTGTTAAAGTTTCTGACAGATTGATTCTAGTTTTTCAGTCTAAAGATTATCTTCACTTGCATGGACATCCCTTTGGACCTCATTACTGAGTTTGTCAATTGTTCTGTTACTTTTCAGCCTCTAAGATTAGTATAAAAATAGACGATCTGTATAAAATTGTGTATAATTCCTAAACAATTAATGCATTTTTTTAATTTCTTGAATTAAAGATGAAAGTCTGAACTTTATTGAATGTTGACTCTTTGATTTTAAAATGCATTGTGTTGGTGTGCAGAGGTACTATTAACAACATAACTAGCAGACATACATGTATGTTTTCAAAAAGCAGCTACAGTAGAAATACTGCTACTGTGGTTTCATTTGTGTGGTAACGAGCAAAAAACTATCTTTTCCTTAAGATAATCAATTCATTGTCCTGTTCTCAGTGAAATCACTTCTCTGGTGATTCTGACTGATTTCAGGGGTTAAATTGTGCTTAATTACTCTGACACAGACAGAAAATCCAAGATTTTAACACCGCTGGTGTCTGCCCATGAATTTCGCAACTTTATACTTAAGTCTAAAGCTCTGTCTGTGACTCTGACTGCAGCTTTACTCTGGCTCTGGCTGTGCTCTAATGCCGTTCCTGTGCCGATTACACAGATGTTCACATGACTGAAATTTAGGCCATGCATCTTAAGAAGAACTAGTTGATCTGCTAAGTCATCCAGCATGTTGAAGTTAAAGTAAACCCAGACTATATTATAATCTGATGTTAAGGGAGATTGAAAGCTTAGCTGCTGCTGTATCTATAAAAAAAAAAGGGAACTCACCAGGTAAAATGTCTTGATCTGCTGCACGAGAAAGTTCAGGTTCTGGATCCTCTGACTTGGATCCTTGCTCATTTTCTTTGCACCCTGAGATGAAGCTGAAGGATTTCTGAAAATGTAACATAAAAGTGTTTTACTTGACACTACTGCCATTTTCAAACCAACCAACAAGCAGTCAAACATAATTAACATGTTTGGATAAGAAGAAGCCGCAACTGATAGAAATCTTGACTCGGAAACATTCACAAGATCCCTATTCATTCCCAACTTTAGCCTGTGTGACATCATTCCTTCCTGCCAACAAACTGGAGTTTTGTTTTGTTGTGTTTCTAAAGCTTGATGTTGTTATAGAGGTAAGATTTCATTACTGAGAAAGTGAAACATATATACATGCTTTATATACGATGATAAAAAGAAGAAGGCAAAGCGTAAAAAGAGTCAGTCATAATTATTGAAACAGACACAAATATAATGCTGAGCTGCCGAGTCTCCCTCTGTGTGCTGTTTGTCCTGTTTCTGTACTCTTTCCCCCTCCCATCTGTGTCCCAGTGGCACTAAACACCAGGCCCTAATCCCAAAGGGTCTTCCCAATCCAGGAGATTATCCCGCCTCTTCCCCTCCCTTCAGTGCAACTTTTTTTTTCATGTAGAACTGGTTATTGTGACCCTGGGGAGATAATTGGGATGAATGGATACTATAGATTTGCAATGGCTAAAGAGCATTATCCACAAGTGCACTCGATCATAGTTTTTTTCCCTCTTTCTTTGGAGTGCTTCACTTTTAGTTAGGAGTCATCTATCAATCTCTGAAGTGTCATTTAACTTGCACATGAAGGCTTAACACACTGGTTTGGTAGTGTTTGCTAAGGACGAGGGTAATTCCCTCAGAACATAAGGCAAAACTATCATAATCTCTTAAGTAGCATCTTGCTAGTATGGATGAGATCTCTCATGTTTTGGTTAATCTCTTGCCTTCAGTCTGGTCTGTCTCAAGCCGTACATCTCTGGGTAACTTTTATGCTAATTCTAACATTTATGTCAGACACCCGAACCTGTCAGTAATGAGGAAGTCTGCAGCTGACTACAAAGATCCCCTTTATTACTGCAGAGTAACAAAGCTGGTACTGTTGATCCCTGGATAAGAATGTTAGCAGATGCTTCATACAGTATCAGTGAATGCTACAGCATGAAGCAAGAGGATCAGAAATCAGCAAAAAAAAAAGATTCTTTATTGACCACAGTCAGCCAAAAATCTGAATTTATCTTGACACAACTTAGATTGAAAATCCGATAAATGAACAAGAGGCTCAAACTGGGATGAAATTACTTACATTTGGGTCATTATGTCGTTTAGAAAGACTCCATCCAGCAGTTCAGAAAAATCCAAGTGCATGCCTCCATCATTTGGCACGAATGTCCTCACCTAAACAGCAAAGAGAATATGGGATTTGAGGTCGATATCACAGTATCTGTGAGGAGACCAGAGCATCGTACATCACTTACCCAAGTGACAAGTGGGCTCAGCATGAACTGATCCAGACAGGGCAGAAAAACTCCACTCTCCATCGTTAGCTAGGCTTTGAGTGACTGGTCTCAATAGAACATCCAAGTTGATTTAATCAAGAAAAAAAAAAAATGATAGCACGAAATACATCTTTTAAATGAAGTGATCCAATCGTCTATTCAGGTCGTCCCGTCCATCTTCTTTAGAGAAGAATTCCCTCTGACACTGCGCTTTGAATTGTCTTTGCTTTCTCTCACAAACTCGTAAAATCTCGCGGTTTAAATTTCGATAAGTGAACGTTTAAACATGTGCGGATTTTGTCCCGGAACAGCACACACGGACATACATCCTCTCTGGTCCTCTGCTGCAAAGGCATCTGCTGTCAATCCTCCTCCTCCTCCCCCCTGCTCTCTGCTCGTCGCACTGAAAGAGTTGGCACTGCTGTATTAGGGATGTTTAAAGGAGCAAAGAAGTTTGAAAAAGTGGCATTTGAGCCAAATAGAGATATCACCTCGCTAATATAATTTAACTCTAGAAAAAAAAATTGCCCTTGGGTTCATATTTTGAAGTTACTGCAGCAGAAACGCCGAAATAGCTTTGCCTTTAATCTGTTACCATGGTGATAGCGCCCCCACCCCTCCCTAACAGCAGCAGCAGCAGTAGCCTCTTTTCTACCGGGCAGCAGAAGTAAGGCTGCTGCTGCTGATACATCCACTGTAGCCACTTAGCATTGCTCGTAGATGCTAAGTGGAGCTATTAAATCCCCCTGCTCCCCCAAAAAGAAAATGCAGCCCACCGGTAATTTTATACAGAAAGACACAGTGCAACCCAGAAAGCACAGCAATCACTAAAAGCGTTCATCTGAATTCAAAAGGTTGCTAGACTAATCTAGAAACATATCAGAGACGTCGTTGAGGTTCTTACCTCTGAATACATCAGAATACCTCCAAAATAAACTCACAGTACGAAACTTTGGCACGCAAAAGACCATAATGGTGTAACAGCACCACCTCGTGTTTAAATTATACATTTTTTGTGCACAATTTCTAGATAAATTATTTTTCATCTCGTTCTCTCTATAAACTCCACAAGATGCTCGGTTGAACTTTCCCTCGTCCGAGGTAAACTTTTATTAAACTCTTAATAAACAGTCATGAGTCTACTTCTCACCTTCCGGTGTTACACTCTCAAGACTCCGGGCGGAACACATGGGTAAATGCAATTCCCATTGCTACAAATTACAGTTTATACATTTAACCCTCCTGTTATGTTGGTTTCCAGAAACACCAATTATGCTCCTGGGTTAATTTGACACGGGGCAAATTTACTCATCCAAAAGTGTCAGAAACACTGGCATTCATTATTTTACAATTTTCTTTTATAATTTTTTTTTTTTTTTGCGTTTTCTGTAGTGATGCAGATGACATGTGACATCTCTTCTGTTCTGGGTCAATCTGACCCGCAACATAACAGGAGGGTTAAAATCGTAAAGTTGTGTTTATATTAAGAGTGTATCTGGTCAATATTACTCGTAAGATAACATCATGAACAATTGCGCAATTGATCTTTCTATATGTTTTGTTATTTATGATTCCAACAATAATTGTAAATGTGTACAAGTCTATATTACTGCTTTAGAACAGTAGAACGGTGGTTCCTAAAGTGTGGGTTGAGGCACCCTGCTAGGCCTCAAAGGTACTGCAGATTGGCAGCAGAAATAAGAGAAATTGTGGTTGAAATTACTCACTCAACTGAGTATGTACAGTTAGACAAAATAACAGTTAGACAGAATTCAAATTGGTAATAGCAGGTTAGTTTGTGGTACGACTCATTAATCTGACCTAAAATTTTTTGCTCTTGTACTGAAAGTGGGTCATACATTGGCCTTAACACTTTGCACTAGGTAGCGTTAGCAATTTATAGCCAACAGCCTGTGTTGCTTATGTTTTTTTGAGTAAAATGTTCACGGAAATACACCACTTTCATTTTGTTTAGAGTTAAGATTTAAGGCCCCACTGAATTTTCTGATTTGTGAGTGGGCTGCAGCACTCACAAATCTGACTTTAGTAATTGTTGCTACAGAAAGATACAGAAATGTAATTACTCGATCTGACATATGATCCTCCACATATACTTACAAATAAACATTATCATACATTTTTATACAGAAGAATTTTTCTTCTTGTCTCCCATCACTCACAGTACCATGGGTTCAATTTCAGACGTTTGCTTAAGGAAGAAATCTTTAAATGGCTCAAATGAACAGGAGAAATGAAAACAACTTGGCCTTTAATACACTGCCTAGAAACAAATACTTTTCTCTGTTTTTAGTGTACAGGTAACACTTTTCTCTCTCCTTTTTGGGTATTTGCTTCTAAGTTTGCTGTTTGTCTGTCCACCCTTGAGTGGCCAAAAATATTCTGAAAAATATTTTCCTTTTTCCACAAAGCCTGACTTGATCTCAGAGGATAGATGTTTTATTTGGCCATAGCTCAAATGTGGCCTCTCACCGTATGACAACTGGGATAGGCTCCAGTCACCCCATGACCCTGAATTGGACAAGCAAGAAATGGGACGGATAGATTAATCCTTATAACCTGTCTTATCCAAGCATTGTCTGACAGTGTTTGAACAAGCTTGGCTTTGTCAGTCTTTAAGTGCCTCCGTTCAAGCTTGAGGTCAGATATGCCACAGTTTTTAGGTTAAGGACCCAAATATAGACTCAGGATACAGGTGTAATAAACAAAAATGCAACTTTATTGGTGGATAAAAGCCCAATAAATAATAAGTTTCATAAATCCAACAGCACAGGTGATACAAGCAAACAAACTAGGAGAATAAACAAAAACTGCAACAGACAAAGAGAAGACAGCACTATATTTACTCACACAGTAAAAGTTAATCAAGGGAATGAGACACAGCTGGGAGGAGATGAGACACTGGTGCACAGAATCAACACAATCACAGGGGAGGAAGAAGGAACTGAATATGAGACACAGAAGACAATTAACGAGTAAAGTAATTCAGAAAGAAAATAACAATAACTAAACTGGGAACCTCAGACACAAAAGTAAATTTAATAAAGGGAAAAGACACCAAAGGAAAACAAAGAGAAAGAACTGAGAAAACGAATAAACTCTAATTTAAAAAAAACAAAACTCGAACTAAGAACTCAAAATAGCAAAATCATGGGCAATGACAAGATTACTTTGTACCAATCCTTGATGTTCATTAGTCTTAAATATATCTATATCTATATCTGGATGCCCATTGTGATATTAGATATATTCATTAATATATAGTAGAAGTAATTCCTTTGAGCCAGAGAATCTCTTTAGCAGGGCTATAACACACATAGCTCTGTCTGTGAGCATGGCAGCACTATCGTCCTGTTTGTGACGGGGCCTTCAGTGAGAGGAAATGTGGCATTAAAGGGTAAAGAGTATTTTTTTCAGATAGTGAAAGACTGTGGGGGCTGAACCAGTGTCATGTAGAAGATAACTGTAAATCCCACATGGTTGATCAAATGGACTCCCAGAAAAAAAATACAGCATGAGCATACTAGATCCACTCCGAGCTGTGTGTTGGGAATTACTAACCTGCTGCAGTATGAATGCATCTCCTTAACCTCCTAGGACCTGGCATCCACATATGTGGACATCACATTTTGGGTTATTTAGACCAAATTACTCAATTTTGCTCTACAAGGGCCTGATATCCACTTACGAGGACAAAAAATAAGGTAAAAAAAAAAATCTGGTAATTCTTTGTTTTTACTTTCATCGGGCCCCAATATTCCCAAATATCAAAGAGAAATTAAAAGTGCATGCCGTGGAAGAGTTCGGGTCATAAGAGGTTAAAGATGTAAACCATAGGCCTGAGCATGTGTTTGAAGAACAGAAATTCCTCTTGCTCAGTCGATATAGCCCCCCCCCCAAATGTTCAGCACCTGCTGCTGCTGTCATGTTAAAAAAGTGTGGGTGTTGTGGTGCTGACCCAAATCTCAAACTTGGATTTGTTAGTAAATTTGTCTTTTTCCAGTTATTAACTGTGAAGTGCTGGTAAGATGAGTCACTTGAGAACTCTCAAATCCTTTATTTAAATTATGCATTTTTAAACCAAACTAGTACTATTCAAGGCTTATTTTTTGTCTGCAGGCTTTTGAGCATTTAACTTGCAGCTTATTACTGGCTTGGATGGAAAGACAGGATAAGGCAAAACATACCTATAAATACTTTTGTTCTGTCAGCAATACAAATTTGTATAGTGAAACATTTTGGGCACTAAACATACCAGCAGACTGAAAAATAAAACAACACCAACAAGGAAAAAGCTATGTTTTATGAAGACAGATGAATAATTTTAGCGATATGATGAACAGAATAACACTACTGCATATGCCGGTGTGTGCCATTTCAGGATCTGACCTGATTACAGTTGCAGCCAAACTGTAGATTTAAAAACATATAAAATGCAATGAAGGACTTAAAAATAGTGGATGTATTTAAACTGTTTCGGTGGGTTACACATAGAGAGAATTGTTTTTGTCACATTGCTTGTGCTAGTATATAGTTAATACTGAGTTAATACTGAGATATTGCTTTTGGTATGCATGCAGTATTACATGCTTATATAACAGTCAACAATTAAACATATATTATTATAATACTGAGTCAAAGCAATACTTTGGCAAGTCATACAGTATAGAGTAGGTCTACATTCTTATTTGTGTACATATTTGTAAGATCTAGCATATTTAGGCTTATGAGGCTTTAAGACATACTGGGAAAAGACATTTTGTGCTTATAAATATAAAGGGTACTTCCATTCATTTTCCTCCTTAGTTTCCATATATTTTTTCCCCTGTTGCGAGTTTCTGTATTTTCCCTGCTGATCCTTGACTCCATGTCGGCTCTGAGCGTAGCGGGACCTCCAGTCCCTTTCAAAAGTAGCTTTGACACGTTCCAGGATTGTCACTCCTCTGTCTTCAGCACTGCCGTTCATTTTGACCACCAATCCAACTCCTGCATTAATAGCAAAATCACTGCCAACCCAGTCATGGTTCCCTGTGAGCGACAAAGACAACAGTGTCAGATAGCGCCCGTAAATGTCATTATTTAAAAAGAAATAGCTTTACATTACTGTATCTTGAATCTTGATATGTGTCTGCATATGTATATACCACTTGGTGCTTGTGTGTCTTTGGATGAGTGAGTAAGAATCAAATATAGCAGTGCTAGTTTAGTTTAGCAGTCTTAGTTAAAAGACATGTCCCCTGTTTCACAAAACATCCTCTCCTGAACTGTTTCTTGGAAAAGCACAATAACTTTCTCACAAATTTTCTCACAAACCTCTGTGATGATATGACTTCCCATAACCTGTACTGTAGCTGTAAGGATTGAACTAGCCATATGTGAGACACTTTGTGGTTGTGACTTGTCCTTTGACTTAAAGTATTCATCTGAAACTCACACTCTTTTATTTTCTTCTCACCTTGCTCTTTGTCTTTTCTTGTCTATATGCTCATAAATCAAGCCAATACAACAATGTTTGAGCTATTGCTCAAGATAAAATGTTCAAGTTTTATACATTTTGCTTTGGTATTTGGTTCTGCAAGTTTATTTTAATAGTATGACTCACTAAACCCAGCTACTAAAAAAGCCAATGAAAATCTGTACCTCAAAAAATTTATTTCCCACTGTTTTGTTTTATATTGAATAAACAAATGCAATGCACAATGATCTTTTATTTCCCTTTGGACAGACAGGCTCGTTGTCCCATTTCAATCTTTGGATAAAGCTACGATAAAATAGATTCCTCCTGGCTATAAGTAATAAAAACAAAAGGAGAGTGGTAACAACATACTTATGTATCTCATAGCATTTTCCAGTTGAGCATCTGTTAGATGCCAACCCTAACTTAGTATGCTTGATGACCTTCTTCATCCCTTCATGACCACGTTGTACCCATCTTTTAAAGCAGTTTCCAGCAGCACTCACCACGTCACGAAGCTCAAATCTTCTTGAACATGACAATGAGTTCACTGTTCTCAAATCTCCTTCACAGTTACTATTCTAAATAAAGTAGTGCACCTCTTGGGAAGTCGTGGAACGGGACATTCTTATCACGTGCTGCTTGATAAATCTACATCAACTGTTTGATGCTTTTATGTCATTATGGATAAAAACCTTTGGGAAATTAAGATTTAAGAATTAAGGTAGTTTTGAAGGCAAAAGGGGTCCAATCCTATACTAGCAATGTGTACCTAATGAAGTGGCCTGTTAGTCTATGCATATTTTTGTTGTCAGTATAAAAAAGTTTATATTAAGATACTTTGAAACCTGCACCTCAATAAAAAACCCAAAACACACATTATATTGCCTACCAATGTAGACTGCATTGTCGGTCACCATGTACTTGTTGTGGTTGAGCCCAAGCTGAATGTCATCGTTCTGCTCCTTGTGACTAAAAAACCTCTAGAAAAAACAACGATTTAACAAAAAGCATGTATAATATGCAATAAAAACAAAGAAAATAAAGTGCAGTGTGAATTTAAACTTGTCCATGAGTAGTTAAAACTAAAGGTGTAAGTGATTCGCTTACCACTTCCAGGGAACAGTTGTAAAGCTGAACGCAGAGTGACTTGAGGGAGGTCACAAAATTAAAGGTGAGTGGATGAGTTTTCTTCCAGAAGCTTATGAGCAGACGAACTTTGATCCCTCTTAATACCACAGCTTCTCTGATGACTTCATCGATAGACGACCAATACCTAAAAATCCAACTGGTGTTATTATTGTGGACAATGCTTTTGAGTCTAAAGATACCGAAGGGCATAGAGTTCAAAAATTCCAAGTTGCTATATTCTGGGTATATTCTAGTTTGTCATGAATTGTGTCCTCTGATACAGACACACATGTACAGTATGAATGTAAAATGATCTCATAAATGTTCCTGTAAAAAGGATTTGAATGTCAAAGCTTGCCCCGGCACACACCTTGTGACTGAGGTTCCTCTGAAACTCCTTTTCACCAGAGGGAGATAGTCTGTCACTGATATGAAGATAAATGTCTTTGCACTCTGAATGACTTGATAGATGGCATCTATGTCTCGGGTGCGATCCTTGGAGCAGAAGAGTTCAGGAGAGGTCTACAGAAAGGACAAGACAACAACAAAAATGAAACAACTGAGACACACGGTTAAAGTTTAGGATAGCTTTCAAAAATGTGTTTGTTTCAATTCAACAAAGAATGCACAATCCACTAATAAAATAGGTATATACATTTCAATGTAACATTTCTGCAGAGACAAAGAAAAGAAAACAAGAAAGCACATTTCAACGACCATTTATCATTACTAGAATAAGTGGGGCAAAAGATCAAGGTAAGTTGCCAACAGCCTTGACAGTATGGCTCCATTAGTTTCTTATAAGATGATAAATGTCTTGTCGCTTTGAGAGCAACAAGATTCATTAGCGTAGTGAGATATTCAGACTCAAGTTGCTCCTTAGTGCGATATTAAGATGATTAATCATTTTCTGTTTATGTTTGTTATTAATATGTAATAAAACTCTTATAAAGACATTCACTATAAGCCCGGAGGCAGGAAATTGGTGCCTCAAGAAGTATATGAACCACTGAAAAAAAGACTGTTGGTGCAGTTTTTTTTTTTTCATTTTGTGAAGAATTGATTTATGTATGCACTAAGTCCTGTAACATAACAAAGCTGTTACTCACAGACACATAAGCGGTGGCGGGGGTGGAGTTAAGATGTAGCTGCAGGGCATTGTTCTTTCCATAGAGAGCAGTTACTCTCTTTGACCAGATGGAGGGGATGTAGTCCCTTTCGTGGAGCTGCCAGTAAAATGAAAAAACTCGGTGGAGGTCCAGAGCCAGACAGCTGCAGTTATATACCACCACCCCCAGTTCTTTTCTCTGTGGTGTATGAGAAAGAAGTAGGAAGAGGTGATGCAGCAGAAAAGTTTAAATATTGAGTGTGCTCTGCAGATGTTATAGAGGGTATAAAAGAAGTGAAAAAAGGGACTGAGTTCAGAGAGAGAGAATAGTAACGTTTCATGGATTGATGATTGATGATCTTCTAATAATTTTCAGATTAAAAAGGATAAAAATGAAGAGCGAAAGGTACTATTATAGAATATCATTAATTTAAAGGTATTTAGCCAAAAATAATATATGATAAAATGATGCTAAAAGAGGAAAAAGAGGAAAATTCAAGACAATAACAAAGTCAATAAAGTGGATGTCATCATAGATATATAATAATTTCAAAGGAATCTGTCTAAAAGCGAATAAGCTGGACATTATTCCAGTCCTACCAAAGAATTTAAATAACTGGAGCACAAGCAGGCTAACACTGCAATCCACAGAGCTGCTAGTGTGGGTAAAAACAACAAAACGAAAGAAGAAGAGACAGATGTCCTAAATACATTCTTGTCTGCTCATTAAATAGATGGCAGAAAAATTTCTTTTGTGTTTGGTGTTTCTGTTTTTTGTCTGTTTCTTTTTTAACGTGTGCCCCTGAAGGAGGAACACAGAGGTTTCAGTTTGTTACCACAGAGGGTCAATTTCAGACATACGTGTCTGGCTTGCAGTGCTTACTACACACATCCAGTGTATGTGTGCTATTCCTTCATTCCTTCTTGCTCATTGTGACTTACACTCATACAGCAGTCCTCCAACCAGTGCTGAGGCACCAAAAAGGGCCGAGCAATCACTTTAGGTTACAGTATGCTAATGCAGTCTGGTTCCTGCTCTATTATGAATTACATACTAAATGAAAAGTGAAATGCTACTTGTCTTTCTGACCATCTCAGACAACAACCTTAAATCATTCCTGATTTCTGTTGGCAGTGCTGGAGTACCTGCATAGGGAAGTATAAGAGGAAAGCGTGGCTAATTTACATTATGTGTTACTCTTTAAAGAGCAAACCAGATGTTGATGTGTGCTTTTACCTTGGAGAGTGACCTCCAGTCCATATCAGCGCTCCCGATGTAAATGTGCTTCCGATCCACTATCCAGAATGAGGAATGGAGTCCTCCTCTGGTAAAAACTGTCATGTTAACAAAATGAACCTCTGCATCTAATCCGTGTGAGGGATAAAAAGAGACACAAAAGAGAGAAAATGAAAAGTTTAAGAGAAAAAGAAAGAGAAAATTGTGTAAATCTGACAGTTGGCCTTGTACTGTCTGACAAGAACAGGGGGCAACGCAGGCAGTCTTTGACAGGAAACCAGACTGTACATTTTCATCCATTCAAGGTTTTTTGGCCTTGATTGTGAAGTCTGGCAGATGCATATGGTGTAGAGCTCCTGGGTGCTGCTGCATGCTGTAAATGCATCTGTTTTCCTTGAGGCAGGTCATTGATATTTCATGCTGTACCTACAGTGCGGTTCTGCTGTCCTAAAGTGGATTGCTTAAGAAACTCAACTAAACGTATCCTGGAGGATGAGAATCTCGTTAATAAAACTCTATCGGGTTGTCGGATAATTGTAAATGTATATCTTCGTTGTTGTTTGCCACAGTGACACAACAAATTGCCTTTCTGAAATAAAAATGTCACATCCACTCACTGTGTGCTGCCAAGGCCTTCAGCTCAGTCGAGTTTGTCAGACTACTGGCAATCTTCAGCTTAACCCCACGAGATTTTAACTTGAGCAGTCTCTGGAACAAAAGCTGACCCTGAGGAAGAGAATGATGTTCTGTATTACTGTAGCACAGCGACTGACCAATGTTCCTGCATTTCTTTTAGAAGGGCAGCTCTTATTTCGTTGCGGGAATAACCTTAATAAATTGCATTTGGTTTTACAGATCAAATGGGAAATGCAATTGGCTCATTGTTCTACCGGACTGGTTACTGTGACTTTGTACCTGTTTGGCGGGGTTTGGGATTGTCTCCAGGTCCCAGGAGTTTAAGTCCCAGGCAGATGACACCACTTCAATTGAGTGCTTCGCCTGATCCAACAGTGTGTGAAAGCCGACAGAGACAGGAAGGTGAGGTCTGCCATCCATGGAGAAAGAGAGCTCGTCTGGAATGTTCTCCACAAGTACAATGCTGAAAATAAAAGATTCCTTCAGTGTCTGGAGCTTTAAAGAGGAACACCACCAACACAACAACCCAGCAGCTCAAAGCCTTTACACATAAATCCTTTTATGGCTCTAGATTTTAACAATAAAAAGTGAGGTACAGATCCACATCAGAAATCTCCAGAATTAAATAATGAAATGGTAATACGCAATTCTGAATTGGTAATGAATGAGTCCAGATTAAGACTATGTTGAGTTAGTAGAGACTGTTGCTGTGAATACACTGTGCTCTACAATTTCCTTTAATCTTGCGAAACATCCTACTGGCAGTCTTTGCTGCAGTTTTCCTCAGTGATTCCATCTTCATCGTCCCCCCAAATGTCCACAGATGAGAAGATCAGTGCTACCAGAACAGCGAAGCAGCAAACAAGGGCAAAGATGGCAATGCACTTCTGCTGGGTCTGGAAGATACATTAGAAACACACACGACACTAACAAATGTCAGACACAATGTTTTATTTCTGGAGGGGTTTTTTTGTGAACAGTGCTGCAGTAACTTTTCTGCTTTTTTTTGTGTCCCTTTTGTGCACTGTGGGCACATTAACACTTGTGCAATGTGAATAATGACGATCAAAATAACAACTATGGCCTACGTTTGACAGCAGAAACCTTGCTTTGATAACCAGTATACTGCAGATTTCAATGCTCTGGAGCAAAAAATCCCCCTGCTTCAACGATCCCACTTTATGCCACAGAGGAAGTAGAACATTCTCCAGCTGACGGCAAATTGATGCACACTAAATCCAGTCGATAAGGTGTATTGGAAAGTGCAAGTTTTTGTTTCTCGTCATACCGACTGCTTTGTTGTCCATGCAATTCCCATCTGAAAAAAGGTTTTATGAGCTCTGTGTCAAGGTGGCAGCCAACGTTACATTTATGTTAAGCAATATTGCAGGCAATATTTGTGCGCGTGTATGTGTGTGCAGTATATGTCTGTAGGGTTTGTAATATAGGTAGAGTGACAGTCAGTATGTGGTCAGAGGTTGTAATTTTGGAGCCCTGGTCCAGCCTGAGGAGTCTTGATTTTCACAGTTTTAAAAGTGCACTTAGGCGTTTTTGTTTTGCTTACGACTGCACATTTTCACCACCTCATTCTCTGCCCTGTTTGGCTTTGTCAGTTGGTGAGCTGTCAACATCACATTACATATTCTCTTTTGTTGTGTTCTATCAGTCAAATGAATTGCATCCCACTGATTAGTTTGGCAGCGTAAGCAGGGGGTTTTCCTTAAAAAGAAAATTTCCATCTAAAAATTCTACAGCTTTTATTTAAAAAAAAAAAAAAGCAATTCAGCATCAAAATATAGAAATATGAACAGCAGGAGGTTTGTGGACTCAAATATTGCCTCGGGCAGTGAGGCTGAAAGACAGGTGCTAGCTGGGTGCACCATACAGTCTTCTGTTGGCCTCTGAGGCCACTGAGCTCTTCATTACATTTAGCAGAGTCAAGGACCATGCTTAACTTGTGGATGTGCACATGGCTGGGAGGAACTGAACAGAACTGACAGTGTGAGATAGGTCAGCCACTTTCAAAAGGTACTGATGCAGTATGTCACTGTAAAAGGACAACAACACATCTAATATACAGGAAAAAATAGCCTAATATGGCAAGGAGTGAATAGATAGCTGTTCCAATAACTACTAAATAATTTGATCCATCCATTCGCTTCCGTTTATCCTTTTTAGGGCGCTGGAGCCTATCCCAGCTGTCTTGGGGTGAGAGGCAGGGTACACCCTGGTCACCAGTCTTTCGCAGGGCTCACACATAGACACAGACAACCATTCACGCTCACATTCACTCCTGCACTCAGACCTATGAGCAATTTAGTGTTTCTATTTAACCTAACCCCACTAACTGCATGTCTTTGGACTGTGTGAGGATGCCGGAGTACCCGGAAAGAGCCCACGCCAACTTGGGGAGAACATGCAAACTCCACACAGAAAGACACTCGCTGGCCTGATGGTGGAATTAAACTCAGGACCTTCTTGCTGTGAGGCAACAGTGCTAACCACCGTGCTGCCCTAAATAATTTGAATTATTGATAAAATAATTATTTATCAAGCAAATATTATGTGAGTGGTTACAACTTCTGAAAGTGTCCAGTTTGGACACATTTTATTGGGTTCTGGGCAATTGTTTTTGTAATTTATTAAGTTATTTTCTTAACTTTTGTAATGTTTGCTACTGCATTTAAAACAATGTTTGTAATTAATAAACGTATCTTACATATCTGTTGAAAAAAAAGCAACATTCTTAAATGCTAATAGTCTCTTTCTCAAAATTATTTTACATCATTTTTTTTGGTGGCAACTGCAACTACTGTGCACCGAGCTATAAGGATGGCTGTGTTATTTGCCGTTTTGCATCATTTAAAGACTAAAGGAGAGACTGATTTATATTAAAAAAATCTTGGATAGTTAAAAACACTTTGACGAAAACCTAAAGTTTTGATATACATATGAGCTTTTAGTTTTAATATGGTTTAAAAAGATAAGGAATTTAAGAGTTTAATCAATCAGGCAGTGAAACACTGGTGTACTGAAACCTAGAGAAAAAAGTCCAAGAAAAAACATGCATTGCAATCCACCTATGGCCAAAAGGAGACTAACATTGCCTATTAAATATAGAAAGAGCTGTAAAACATCACCTTTAATGGCTCCTGTGGGGTTGGTCCTGCCATGAGAGCAGCATTCCTTTAAACTACAAGGTGGGAAACAGGAGCTCAGTCACACATCTTTGCCTCTCTTTTCCACCCAGCCCTCAGCCTGTTCAAATCTGATGTCTTCACTCTTGGTCCTTGTCTTCATCCTGCAGGTACCTCAGTGTCCCAAAAGGTCTGTCTGTGTGGGCATCAGCTTCTGGTCTCTTATGTGTCCTGACATGGTTCTTCTAGCAGCTGATTGTGTGTGTGTGTGTGCTTGTGTGTGAACTGTTTGTGCGGTTCACTGTCTGCCTTACAGTCGAAGCGGCGAGAGAGAAGATGAAAGACCAACCCCCTCTTGTTCAAAATGGCCAATAAAGAGCTGTAGCTTTGAGCTCCAGTACCCTCCCCCTCCCTCCCTCACTTTCCCTCTTCTCTTCCTTTTCCAGCTGTATTTCCCTCCTTTATCTGTCAAGTGAATAAAACTCATCTGGCAGCAAGCAGTTGGTCTTTGCTTAGAAGGGAGCGATGCTGAAACATGCCATTAGTAAATGTGACAGTTGCAGCAAAACTCCCCAAAATATTTTGGACTCAGTACATCGCACATGCCTGCTCACTATACTGTATGCAGGCGCACACACATGCGCGCGTGCACACCCACACTCGGCATTTACGGTTACACTCAGAAAATATTGAGGCATCTACAAAAGCCCTATAGCTCCCATTAATAATTGATATAAATGGAAGCTGGCATAATTATCTTCTTTAATTCCCACTTTGTTTAAATCACTGCAGTAGATTTGCTTTATTCAAGTGGAATGAACCATGTTTCAATTCTGCTACAGCTTTAAGAGCTCCTCATATTATTGCACAGAAGGGTCTCAGTGGGAAAAAAAAAATGAAATATGTAAAATCCTTTTTCCTTCCTTTTTTTTTTGCCCACAACTCTTTCCTCACAGATGAATATATGCTTAATGGCAGCAAAACAACATATGCTCCAAACTGCAGGTACGCTTCTGTTTATGAGACCTGTATATGAGGTTGAAAAATGATAAGAGGCATCTGTTTGCACTACTGCATTTAAGTAAACTTTAAAGAAATGTGTTGATTTTTCTAATTTTAAGTTATACATACCAACAATTTCATCAGTAAAAAAATTGCTTTAAATTTCACATCTCCTTCATGATGAACTGTAGTAACTTTAGCGACTCCCTGAAATCTTATGCAGAGCCATCATCCGGTGCGATTTTCAATTTAAGCATTGTTTAATTGATGAACAAATACCTGCAAAAATAAAACTCCCATCAGCCTAAGGTGTACCTCAGCTGTGCTAATCAGCAGATGCAGTTGTCTCACTCAGCATTTATATGCTAATATGCATGTTAGTAACATTCTTGCCACAAAAGCATTAGCATTTAGCTATGCCACAGAGGCTGGAGGGGTCTTTGCTACATTCACTCTCTTAGGCAAAAACAGATGTATTTGCATGGCTGGGAGCAAATAAGAATGACTCTCAGAGACAGGTCAGTAAATTATGCTTCTGATATAGTAAGATGGAACTGCTTGAAGTAACATTTATCAGCAGACTCTGTAGGCTACACAGCAAAATATTGCAACAGTGGTAGCATTCCATAGCTTTGTGGACTTTATCACAAATTAACCGGTCAAACAAGCAATTTGTGCTGTAGAGTTTTGGAGTGACTCCTTTAATACAACTAATACTCATGAATACATTCTTTCTTCAAAGTTTCAAATACATTAATACACAAAATGTATGCAGAGTACAAAGTTTGAATTTTAACTAAAAAAAAAGACACATCAAGGCGAGATCTCGTAATAGTGGAATAAAAACTTAACTGGGAAAACTGCTTTGCCTGTCTAGGACAGGTGCCCTCTGCACGTCAAACTGCATTTGTGTGTGTGTGTGTGTGTGTGTTTGTGAGAGAGAGAGAGAGAGAGTGAGAAAGAGAGAAAGGGATGGGTCAACAAAACTATTTGAGTCACTTCCCAGGAGAGGTGAATGTTCCTAAAGCTGCACACATGGGGTCATACAATCACACTTTCAAACTGAGAAAGAAACAAAGTGACATGCCGAATTGGATTTTCAGTGTTCCCAACCATCACAAGCTCAGACGGAGTTATAAAGGGCAATTTATAGCTCAGCAACAAAGTGAGTGAGACTCTGGTCACTGGCGGTCATGACAGAAAACTGTTGACATAAACAATTTAGTAACTGCACAGTCATTTCAGTGATTGGGGTGTCAATGTTTCAGCTAGCTTTGTTGCTTCTGTTCTACAAAACAGGAAATGGATCCTAAATTTCTTCAAATTTTTTTGTCCTTTCTATATGTTAGAATTAAATGTTTCAAGATGCATTTAAAGCACCTGCTTTTTAAACTCAATTTAAAATGCTTTATTACTTTTTAACAGGCCATCTGTACTGTCCTTGGAGGCTTACATTTATAATTACTCTATATGACATCTTGTCTCCTTTTACTAGCTCCACATTAATTAAGGTGACCTCCCCTCCCGTTAAAACACCCCCCTTGTGATTGCCTGTGAAGAACGCTTCTGTGTATAGGTGTTTCACCTTCACACCGAAAGCTCAACAGCAGGTTTTCCATGAGCGCACAGTACGTGGCGTTTTCTAACGTCATAGTCAGGGTGATGTGCTGAGTGAAAGCTGACTGGGCACAGCGCCACGGGAGACAGCTAGGCCACATGCCAAAGGGAGTGTGGATGGGGTGCAGATAGGGATCCAGCAATGAAAAATGATCCTGTTAGGTTGTTTCACTCTATCAGTAATTGTCTGTCCCCAGCAGAGCACTGGGTTTACTAGTTCTCTTCAGCTAACAGGCCACATGGTTAAAAGCCAGACAATCAGTTAATGTTTAACTTTTTTTTTCATGACCAAGAATTTGCTTGATACAAAATTATTAAAATCTCAAGTAGGGGTGGGCGATATAAACAATATACGATAGAAACGATATAAATTTGGCCAACGATAGAGATTTTGACTATATCGCTCTATCGCGATAGCGAATGTTGATGATGTCATCAAGCTGCGCCTGTTTTGGTCGAAAGCATAGCAGCCATCTGCAAATTATGGCAGGCGACAGTCACACCAAAGAGATGAAGCACTTTTGGAATATGGGGAAAGCCAAAAACTGCGCTTCCTCCACTTCCGTAACATTGATTCATTAATGTTGAATTCTCTCGCAGCTGTTCTATTCCCATGTTGTTGCAGTATATTAATAACTAACCTTGTATTGTGGATGAATTATCTCAGTTGTTCTCCTGACTGAGGTTTGCCCCGTGTATAGCATCCTGCTATGCGATTGCATTTGTCCCTGACCACCAGAATCCCTCACGTTAACTTTTATCGAGTGGAGAAAAAGTTGGCGTTCATCCTCCAGCTTCATTGTGCTAATGTTATGCTAACATAGCTGTGTCGCTAGCAATCACGTAGCACAACATTATATACCAGGTAGTCCAACTTCAGTAACCCTGCAAACGCCACTGCTGTTTCGTTTTCTATCTTCATTTATGTTGGAAGTGGTAGCAGAGCTGTACGTTTTAATTAGTTTCAAAAATCTCTCAGTCAGAACATGGTATGAAATGTTTAGGTGTAAACTAGCGAGCTAACTTCCTGTTAACTTCTAACTCCCTTAAATTTAATAAATTCTGTTTTCATTGATGCATGGATGTAAAACTTAATTGTTACACCCGATAAAACAGCAACGCTGATGATTTAATTAAAGATGAAAGAATTTAGACCGTTTTTAACTCTTAGTATTTGTTTGACTTTGGGACAGAGTTTTGGACCCAGATTACTCCGCGAAGCTCCTCACTACGGCAGCAATAATGCTCTGACAATCCATCAAGCAGTGCGGCTTACCAAAGTTGTACTAAAAACATCCAGGTCAGTAAGCACAACCAGAATTCATACATAAGGCACACTCTTGATTTTTGAGAAAATTAAAGGATTTTTAGTGTGGAAAATACGTTATACAGAAGAAAAGAATATATATTGTGATATATATCGTTACCGCACATGCTTCAAATTATATCGCGATATGAATTTTAGGCCATATCGCCCAGCCCTAATCTTAAGGTAAGCAGTCATTCCAGAAAACTGTTTACAATTTACCAGTAATGGAGCTTTGTTTACTAATGTATTGAATATGTACCAGTCAGTTTCTTGGGAGTGCTGATTAATAATGGTGATGCTTCACATGCTCTCTTTTGAAGAAATGCTTTCTGCAGGAGGCTTCAGAGGTCACAGCAAACTTTACACTTCGTCCCTTCCTGTCTCTCTGTACAGGATATTTTCTTATGTGCAGTAGAGTCCTCCAACACAAAGAACTAATTAATAGTCTCATATTTAAGAGCCACACAGTGCTAACACATTAGTATGTGTAATTATGATGATTTAAAAACCTTGCCATACACACATTTTGGGTTTATTACTACAAGAATGAGAACAGGGTTAGCTAGTTTTTCTTGACAATTCTCTTAAATGTAACAACAATATCTCAGTGGGTATTTAAGTTACTGAAATGCAGATAAAGTGGATTTTTATGCTATGATGGACAATTTGGAGCAATAGGAAAGGGAATGTAGAGAAAATGGCTTTATACCGTTCTGCTGCTTATAAACAGGAAAGAAAGTAAGTGAATCTTACTTTCTTGGAAGGATTACAAAACACCCCATAAATGCATAGCTTCATTCATCCTGCTCAATATTTTAAGTATATTAACTGGCTTCCGAAGATCTAATTAGCCTAACTGGATCTAAATCATGTCTGGAAAGATTCGATTCTGAGTTAAAATTCTGTGCAACAGAACTGTGCTGGGAGTAATGGTGCAACGCTTTAAGATAAATTAGAAATATTAGACATTTTTCCCTTTTTGTGAAAAATGCTAACACATAAAATGGTCAGAGATACATATCAGATTGATATTTATCCAGCCACCAAGCAGGAGGTAGCATAGGTGAAGATTTTAAGATTTTCATAGGCAGTGACCAGGATGGACAGGTTTAGAAATTCGTCTATAGAAGCTATCAGCTTAAGTTAAGTGGTTTAGAGCTAAAGTTAGAGAGGCATGACTGAGATGGTTTGAACATGGTGCAGGATAGCGGATATACTGGCATAGTACACTGATATGAAACTACCAGGGGAAAGAGGAAGATTCATGGAAAGTGAAGAGGGACATGCAGAGGGCTGGTGTGACAAAGGATGATGCTAGAGATGAAGTAAGATTGAGGCAGATGATTCGGTGTGGTGACTTCT